TTTTGAAATACTGCTTGGTCTTAATCTTTTTTAACATATATTAGAATGTCATTTTTTTCAGACTCACTGCCGGACAACGCTTTACTGTGCAGTTCTCAGTTAGTTTGAAAGGCAAAAACAGAATAGAAACAAATCACTTTCTAAGTGAAGTGTCCAGAAAATGGCAGTGATAAGAGTGGGGAACCAAAACACAAAAGCAGCTCGATGTTTTTGACTACAGGCACCACTCAAGCAGAGCCTCTTTCAGGGTCATTTTAAAGGGAGAATAAAGTGGTACTTCTAAATGGCCCTGAAAAACTGGTACGCAAGCTTTGACTTATCTTGATTTGATAAACTCAGAGGAGACAAATGCTGATGGGTTAAACTCAGAGAGGACAACAGCAACGTGCACCATTTTTCTGACGTCTGTATATCCTTGCACGCTTCTTAATCTGACTCACTGCATAAAGGATGCAGGTATGAGGCTGCTTGGCTGCTCATTTAAGGCACTTTGTCACTATTATCTGTGAGTTACCGCTTTCTTCAACCTACCATACTTAAAATCTCACGTTTTGCAGAGGAGTTGCCTCGTGCTGTACAGCAGCCCCTTTTGTTTTGTATATTCATTTATTTTAATCACATTGCTCGTCTTCCTGCATGCAAATGTTCCACCACAACATGTCACTATTTTGGGGAAACACTGAAGCTACGTGCTCGGTTTAGCGACGATTGGTGATAGCATAGCGACCCATCTAATGTTCTGTTTTGTACTTGCATATACAAGTAATATTTGTTGTGGTTTAGTTAGCGTTAGGGTCAGAGCTGCCAGATCCTGCACAGCAACGGCAGCAGAAAGCCTTAAAGAGGTGTTTACTGTAAAACCTTGCTCCTGCCTTAAACTCCTGCAGTGGGAAGCACTCTAATGAGACAAACACCGGCCAGATCAGGTCAGGTGATAATTATCCTGATGAAAGGAAGACTTAAATGAATAAATTAGTCAAATTAACTCTCCTAAGTCTCGTCAGCAAGTCCTTAAACACCCCAAATTCCTTCAATAACACCCAGAACGTGATCTAAGAGGAGCCAAAAGCATGGTGTGGCTAATCCATTCTGCCGCCATTAGCAGCTGCAACTGTTCAACCTGAAGCTTCATCGGCCTGCACGGTTCAACCAGTGCACATGTAGCACCCCGCTGATGTCTGTGTGCTCACTGATGTCTTCATGTGGTAGCGGTTTGTGTGTGCTTTCACTGTACTCGATCGGCGATGCAGAACACGAAACCTCCACGTCAATCTCGTCTAATTTGAAGGGAGCAGAGCTGATCACTGCGAGATATAATTACAAGGCAGCAACACATCAGTCGCAGCAGCTGGACTGAAGCCCAGGAGAGCAGAAAGCAGGCCGCTGAGGCGTGACCCCCGCTGGCTACCTGGGTGGCTGAGAGATATTAACTCGCTGATGAATCTGCGGTGAAGCTTCTGCTTCTGATTTAATGGAAACCAGCCCATGAAGAAAATGACATGGTGGTCTTCTCATCCAAAGACTTTGGAGAGTCTATGCAGGTAAATCTGTCCCTGTGAGTTGTATTACAATCTATTTTTGTGCAGAATCTTTATTATTTTAGTCAGCTATTGTGAAATTATACCACAATGGTGTGCCAAGTCAGAATGTCAGCACTTGAGATCGGATTAGTGACGCTAGTCGCATGGATGATTCCTCAGGAAGACAACTTTTGGAAAACACCTGCAAAGTAAGTCAGTAATCCCTCCATGCTGACTGGCAGCAGAGATATCAGTTCAATCGTGTGTTTAATCACATTTAAAACAACTACTACAAAAAGGACATCTTGATTAGATCCTCAGAATGCTCAACAAAGTAAAAAAAAAAAAAAAAGTGTGACAGATTTCTGTAGTAGTCGGCTTGATAACACCAGTTTTTGTTTGGTTGCCATGGCGACATGTGCGATTGACAGAGGGTGTGCTATCTTTTAGAAGTGACTCAACTCTGACTTCAGCCTTACTTCAGTCTGAAGGTGTGCCGCCATATGCAGCACACAGAGACACCTCATAAAAGTAAACGTAAACACACACACACACGCACGCACGCACGCATACACACAAACACACACACACAAACACACACACACGGTGTTTCAAGCAACAACTTTTCAAACTTGCTGATACTGTTGGTCAAAAGTCGCCCTGGGTTAGGGTGTGATCTTCTTGTGCTGTAATGATTATAGCCGGGACTCTGAGAGCTCAGCATCAAAACAAAGTCCAACCCAGAGACACATGTGACATCATCATCTTCGTCATCTTCATCATCGTGATGGCGCAATCACAAACCAACCTGCAACACTGAGATAACAGAAAACAACAAGCCAGCAGCTGTGCAGCCACTGCTCTGCTGGATTCAGTTCAAAACCAGACACGTGTTTCCATGTGAATTTATTTTATTTTTTTATTTTTGCCACTAAAAATTATTCACAAATGTATATTGTTAGGATGCTTTATTCATACAGTGGAATTGTAAATGTTTGGCTGGTTTGGTAAAGTTTGCATTCACACTACTGTCACTTTTTTTTTACAGATTTCTCATGCTCTGGCCATTTATCCTTTTGTTTTTAAGTTTTAAGTATTTCAGACACTTTTATTTTTTCACCCTGTAAGCTATCTAACTTTTTCTACTGTTTAACATTTACTAAGATGTCTAAACTGGTGCTGTAAGCTAACTTTTCAGCAACGACTAAAGTATTTGCAGCTGTTGGTTTCAACCATTTATTTGATGATGACAATAAACTTGATTTGATTTGATTGATTCTTAACTATCGGTTTCACCTTTAACCTCTTTCATCTTAAAAACTGCACACCTCAAATGGACTCCTGTGCGGCGTTTTCTGGACTGAATACACTAAGGTTGAATCGTCTGGGATGAACATATGGCATCATGTATATTTGTATTCAAAAGCCGTTGAACATTAACACGAGAACATCACCCAAATGGTGAAGCATGGTGGTGGCAGCATCATTATCTTGCTACCTTTGGACGTGCACATCTTGCCATTATTACAGGGAAAATTAGGTTTATTGAGTTATATTACAGGATAATGTCAGGCTGGCTGGCTGCCACCTGTAGCTCAGTAGAAGCTGAGTGATGGGGCGGGATAATGACCCACAACACCAAAACAGAACGGCATCAAACACAGAGCCTAGATCTTAACCTCATGAAGATGCCATAAAATCCCCTCAAGAAAGTCATTCATACAAGGCGTCGTAATAATATGGCGGCGCTGAAGCATTTTTGTGAAGAAAAATGGTCCAAAAATCATCTTGAGCATTGAAACACTTGCTTGTTCTTGCTGCCAATGTTAATAAATCCAAGTATTCACATCTGTTTTCACACCAGCACCGTGGTTGTTTAAAGGGTGTATTCAGAAAAAAAAGTAAATATCATCACTGTGTGTGCGTTATTAGCCGAAACACATTTTGTTTGTCTATACCTGTGACTTACACGGAGATCAGATCCCATTTTCTGACCACTCAATCCAGGTAAATCCAAAGGGATCACTTACTTTTTCTTGCCATTGTAACTATATATAAAGAAAGCCTGCACTGACTCCACAAAGCTCTTTGAGCAGAACAAAGGCGTTCGATCAGTCACTGCCAGCTCTGTTGATTCACCTTGACTTGGATTATTTATCAGGAGGGTTATCCTGCCATTGAGCAGTGAATAGATTGGTGGAGTCGCATATCAAGTCAGAGCAGCGGGGACGCCCTTTTACTCTAGTCATAAAGAAGATAAATAATAGAGTAGTAGAAGTTAGGCTTCTGAACTCTGGCATGTTTTAGCAGGATATAATATTTTTGCTTATGTGTGATTTTTAGGGTGATTGAGTGAATACGTCACATATTGTTCACACAGCTCTTCTGCTGCAGCTTTGAACTCTAGGATGGTGAGAAACGAGGCTGCTACAGAGGTTTAAGCTGGAATAGAAACACTTTTTGTACAGAGAATGAATAATTCAGTGTTTGTTCCACAAAGGCGTCTTAATTAGTCGGCTGGAGAATGAAACACATCCCTCTGAACACCTGATTACTTATCAGGTTCAGGAGTTTGCATGAGGAGTCTGCACTTTAGTTACAGTGATGAAATGTGATCAGAAATGTCCTGTTTCGATGTTTTATTGCACATTATCATTTCTATCACAATGTCCTTGGAAACTCCACCTGATAGTGGCCTGATTCTTTAAAACATAATGAAGTTAACTCATTAACCCTTATCAAAGGTTGCAACAGAGACATGATTCTGACCTCCACCTATTTTTTTTTTGTTTTTTATATAAGCCTGGCAGGTGGTAAAGCAGTCAAATACTTTGCAAGATTATATATATTTCTCATATTTTCTGTAATAACAAATTGAGGAATATGTTGTGACCCTTTAGAGGGTTAGTACCTGATCAAATGCCAATGGCTGCAAGAGTAGAAAAATAGAAATAAAACTTAAGGAAAATGGAAAATATATAGAATAGACCATCATTATTATTATTGATGATTTCATGAAAGTAGTGGTGGTGCAAACTTGAGCATCTTTATGCACCTCTGGGATGTTAAATTAATCATGCATCACAATATGTTGTATTGCACAGTTTGCAAAGTAATCAGCAGCTATAGTCATAAAAAAAATCATGCAGGGGACTAAAAAATAGAAACATCTGCCACGGAAAGTTGCAGAAAACACAAGTAAAGTGCATAAACATTGCACCGAATAATATATATAAAAGTGTGCAATGTGTTTTAGAATAAAGGAACACCTCAGTTGTTATCATAGGGCCCATAAAAAAAGTTTTTACAATGGCAAATAAAAGTGAAGGAAGCCTGTGATGGTTTAATGTCAGTGGCCCATGTGATGTTTCCTGCACAGGCTGAGCACAGCGTGGCTCAGGCCTCTCCCACTGCTAGAAAAAAACAAAAAAAAAACAGAAAAGTTTCAGTTGAACTATTTCCTCGTCGCTATAAATACGGGACGCAGCACATCTGCACTTCACAGCGAGGCGTGGTCAGTCAGAGAACAGGTGGAGCAGCTGCAGGATACCTTCATTTCCTCCACATTCACACAGACAGACAGACAAGATGCCAAAGTGCCCAAAGTGCCAGAAGGAGGTTTACTTCGGTAAGATCCGCTCTTGTTTTTTTAAATTTTATTTCTTTGATTTATTTTTTAGAGCATCGAGAACGTTTCCTCGTTGATGCAAACTGGCGTCTTTTCTGTGCAAATGAGGAAGTGAACCAACAGCGTGGCAGAAATAAAAAAAATAAATAAAAAAGTGGCGTAAAGTTTAATATTGCGCATTTAAAACGTTAAAGGAAAAAAAAAAGATTGATGCTGGTTAATGTTTTGATAGCGTTTTTGAAAAGTAAAAATACTCTATTACACATAAAAGCTGTCATCCTGTAATGTGGCTCCTCTTACTGCATTATTACATCAATATTAGTGATGCATTCACTTGTAAATAGCGCACTTTTTGCCCAATAATGCACTTTATGCACTTTTGCAATGTTAGATGTAAATTGCGCAACATCATCATTTTATATGCAAAACCTTAGTGTGCAAAGTAAACAGTGGTGAAATGAATGCAGGAGGGTGAAAAGTAACGGTGATTCCCACTGAAAGTAGCAGAAAATACAAGAATAAGTGCCTCAAAATTGCACTTTAAGTACAGTTCTGGAGTAGAAAGTACTTTTAAACCTTTCACATACATTACTTGAAGGAGCCACTCTGCACAAAAAATACATTTACAAAACTGAAAGTGCATTTTCTTTTTAGGAATTTTACAAAATGCAGGACATCTACTTATAACAGCTTTACTTTAGTTGGTAATCTGATTACTTCTGCCTCCACTGATGATGATTGATGCACTAAGGTGAAAGCAGTGCTTCACCTGAACATATGTTGAACACCCTGAGGGTTTGCATGTTCTGTCTTAATCCTAAATGCAATAAAATTATAGTTGTGGAGTACAAAGTGCAATGATTCACCACAGAACAGAAGCAGACGGCTGCAAAAAAACGTACAGTACTTGAGTAAATGTGCTTAGTTAGTTTCCAGCTCTCCTTTAATGTGCTCAGTCTGTGCCCATGTTTTCCCGTATGTATGCATTTCTTCAGATTAATGTGTCGCAGCCTTTAAAGGTTGCTGCTCTCTGCGAGCTTTCTTGTTATCGTGTTACTTTGGAGTCTCAGATCTTTGCTCCCAGTAGGAATTGAATTGTCCTCCCTGATGATGACTGATGAGGCTTCGTGAGTAATTTCTTGAGGAAGCTGCAGGTTTCTTCTGAAATACACCGGCATGATGTTGTAGGTTCGTCTCATGGGGACGCCGTCTGAGCAGGGGACCAATTACATCATCCGGGGAGGGAAAAAAAAAAAAAGGAGCAGCTCCATTTTATTCGTGTCTTAATCCATTTAGCACATTGTCTGCAGCTCAGTAGTGCAACAGATAAACTCTCTCCGGGGAGATGCTCAGAGGACGAGGCCAAAGCAGGATACAAAGCCAAGTCTTTGGACTGTCAGTCAGATGAATGGGCCGTGTGACTGGGGAAGCATCCTTTCCATTCTCCCTGTTCATGGATAAACTCTCCCCTCCTCGCCAATACAAGCAAACCAATTTGTTTCAGCCCGAACAAGCCAACCAGGCTTTTTCCATGCAGGAAAAGAGGGCGTTCGCTTCCATAGTAGCCGAAAACAAAGCTTTGTACTCTCTTTTTATGGATGCACGATCTTGTACTGTCAATTCCTCACCTCCTCTATAAACTCCATGTCTCAATCCTTCACCCTGCAGTCCAGGATCCTCCCATCTTTTTTTACGCTGCTCATCCGTCTTAATGTTACTGAGCTCTCAGATGGAAAAAATCAGGCTACTGCTGCCTGCATGACTGATAGAGGTCCATTACTTTGCTCCTGCTGGAAACTCTGTATAGCGATTGTGCATTAAGGCAGCGACAGGAACAAAACGATGGAGAAGCCACAAACGAGCTCCTCCATGTGTTCCCACAGGCAGCATTTATCTTGATGAATGTCTTTAATAACTCAAAACCTCAAGTTCATCAACCTCAAAGAAATAGTTTGACTATTTTTGGAAGTTTGAATTCTGGCCCAGGTTTAGAGAAGAGGAATGAAACTGCTTCCATACCCATCCAGAAGCTAAATATAGCAGCTTCAGCTAGTTAGCTTAGCATAAATATGTAAAAACATAACAAAAACTGCCTACCAACACCCTTAAAGCTTGCAATTGAATCTTCCTTTTTTAAAACACACAAAATTGAGAGATTTCATTCATTATTTGTCTTAACAGACACTGGCAGCCAAATTTTATGACCTTGCGACAAAGTCATGCCAGCAAGTCTTTACGCTAAGCTAGCAATTAATAAACACAACCGTGGTATCAATCTACACATCTGCCTCCCCACAACAAAGCAAATAAGTTTTCCTAAATGTCAAACTATTCTTTAATTTAGTTAGCTTTAGCAATGTTGGTTCTGACAAAGTCAGGCTAGCTGTTTCGTCCTGCTTATGCTAATCAAAGCTAACCAGACGTTCACATTAGAGCATCGTATTTACTGTAAAGACACATTAACCTTCTCCTTTAATGTTCCGGAAGAAATTAACTAAACGTATTGAAAAATGCAGAGTTATTCCACTTAAATATAAGTTGTCAGACTAAGCTAGCTTAGCACCAAGACTGCAAACAGTTAGCCGCTGGTCTTAGCTGGTCTGGCTAAAGTTAACAACTGATTCCATTTGTTCTTGGTTTTAAAGCAAAGTACAGAAATACCTTTTTTTCTGGTTTTGTATAACAAATGAATTTTTGATTATATAATGATACCCAGTTCTAAATGAACTCAACTTCTCGTCCAACTCTGCAACAAATCAAATAAGCATCCTTCCATAACTAAATGCAAAAAAGAGCTTTATTATAATACTTGAAGTTGCAGTCTTGGCCTCTTTTTCTAGTGTGGCAACTTCGCCATTAATCTTTTCTGGGATGGAATGAAACAAATTCTTCTGCGCTTTCCTCCCGTGGTGTGTTTTTCCATTCAGATTTGTGTGTTTGTGTACACTGGACTGCTTCCAGACAGCCAGAGCTAATGCAGAAAGCAGACTGGATTATTCTTCTGCCTGTCACACCCCACTTCTCCTCATATTATCTGGTGGAACAAATAACTCGTGCACAAAAGCAAACGTTATCAGATCCACAGGGGAAGTGAAAAACAAGCTGCATATGCATTATCACAGCTGATGAAGATGGACTGTCCTCCAGGCCACTGTTTGCTCAGTCCACTGGTTTGTTATTTGTAGTTATGTACAGTCATTATTTCGGGTCAAACTTCTTTCCAAGCGCCACCACACTCAACTGAACTGTTTTCATAGAGCTGGCCTGAGAGAATGACCCCACCCTGAAGCACTTTCTCCATTTTCCGCTGCCCGTTGCATAATCTCAGGCCACATCAGGCTATTTTTAGGGAGGAAATATGTCATGTCCAGATATTTTGGGTACGTTCAGAGTCCGGGGGGGCTTCACCTGAAACCGGAGTTATTTTCAACCCTGCAAAAAACATCTGCTGTCGTTCCTGACTTTCTTCAATGTTTTCAAAAAGTCTGCAGATGTTAATCACGTTCTCCACAGTTACATCACACTGTACATGTCCTGATAACACTTCTCCATTTTCAGCACTTCTTGTGCTCGCTGGCTGAGGTCACCCTCTCTGATTCCTCCTCATCATGTGACGAGTCTCAAAAGTCGCTTGAGCCTCTTGTCCGTGAACCACAAGACGGTTAAACCGGGTTTCCCTCCCACTTTTACGATCCTCCTGATGGGTGTTTGTGCAGATAAATCCTCGCAGATAAAGACGTCTTTATTGGAATTTATGAGGCGCGAGGAGGGCAGATTCCTCCGGGACACTCGGTCCTTTTTCCCCCTCGACGACCACACCCAATAATGTCCTCAAACTTATCTCCAAAAGAGTACATCTAATTGGTTCAAATTTGCAGCGCGTTGAGGTCATATGGGTTGCACATCTGACCTAACCCACGTGCGATAATCTTTTTTTTCTTGTGTTTTGCAGCTGAGAGGGTGTCATCACTGGGAAAGGACTGGCACAGACCATGTCTGAAGTGCGAGAAGTGCAACAAGACGCTGTCAGCTGGCTCACATGCTGAGGTAAGAAATCAGAATTACAAGACATCCTAAAAAGGTTTATACAATGCACACAGGGTTTAAAAAAAACAACAACAACAAAAAACACTAGTGGACTTAATACAGAGATGACACGACAAATATGTGCAAATTTGGCAAATAACATGAATCTCCTTTTCTTAAAAAAATATCTGTACCTCTACTTTGTCTCTTCCAGCATGAGGGAAAGCCATACTGTCACAATCCCTGCTATAGTGCACTGTACGGACCTGGAGGTAAGCATAATCTGAGTAACACAATAAATACATCACTGACCTCCTCATGCCACCCTCACAACATCAAGAAATGTAACTGCTCTTAAAAAAAGTTTTAAAAAAGTCAAGGTCAGACTTGGTGCCGCCTCACTCACTAAGATTTTGTCTCAGGTGGGAACGTCCTGAGTGAGGACAATGTTTTTGTAGCTGTGAGGCTGTAAATGCTGCTATCAAAGCGCATGTTATCGCCTGATAAGCTCACACACCGATTGTCTCTTTACTCACTTACATTAAGTGAGAGTAATAGCTCCAGTAGTATCCAGTAGTCATCTCCACACATTATATTTAAAAATGTATTCATCTGTTTTTTTCTTCTTGCCAGGATTCGGACGCGGCGGAGCCGAAAGTTACACATATAAATAGACAGGTATTGTGCACACGTCCGTCATTCAGCCGTTCATTTGCTTGTTTTCTCACATTTTCATGCCATTTGCATCGACCTCAACTGTAACCAAATCCATCCGCGCACTTTGCACCGTCTGACGTGCGTCTTCTCTGCTTGGTCGACAGGTTCGGACCCCGCACTGAAAATGTTGCCTGGAAACTAGATGGAAGCTTGCTCAGAAGTCACAACAAAAACCAGCAAACAAACTGTGCTTTCATCCAGAGGAAACATTTTGTGTGCCCATGCTTTTATTTTATGGGTTTAGATTCTGTTTTCTGATTTTGCACTCCCACCATGAAATGGTTGTCCTCTTCTCTCGTCCTGACATTAAAGCGGGCGATCTGATTAAACGCTTTGTAAAACTTCTCATGTCTTTTATTTATTTTCTGTCTCCATGTAGATTTTCTGTATGAAAATAACTTAAATCCAAGCCATTACTTGTATCTCTTTTGTCATTTAGTTTGGTTGCATCCCCCTAATCCATTTAAATCCCAACACAAATGCTCTACTTCTGCCTGAACTAAGTATCATTTACATCTTTGAGGCATTTTTGCATCAGTTCTTCAAGCTGATGATCTAGTCAGTGGTTTTCCTGCAACATATGTCAAACCTCACCTTAAAAAGTTCATTATATATATTGTCCAATGTGCATTTTTTGCAATTGTGTAAGTTTTGCAAAGGTTTCAAGAGCTCCAACGATGTGAAACTGATATAAATATAACAAGACATCCAAGTCATCACAAGCAACATGCAGTAATTATTGGTATAATGATCTCATAAAGTTCAATATCCAGGAGTTTTCAATCAGAGAGCAGCATGTATAGGTGCATTTGTCGATGTCCAAATTTCAATCCTTCTCAGCACTGTAAGGATCCAACATATGTGACAAGATCGGTGACTATAGAAACACATTAATCTACAAGATAAGATGTTAAAAGAAGGATGCTGTTGTCCATCATTGTTCAAACACATGACATGCAACTTAACCAGAACTACATCAGTGCAAACCAGCCCAATAAATTAATAAAACTCCACCTTAATGCACCAAAAATCGATTATGAGCTCCCATAAAAGTTAATTAAAAACCTCTAAATTCCTCTTATTACACGACACGTTTTCTTTCCACTGCACGTGAGCACACGCTGTCCCAACAGAGGGTAAAGATTAAAGAGGATTACATGATGCAGCTCCAGAGCAGCTACTAAATGGACCTTGTGGTGAGATTATTTAAAGTCAGGACCCTTCTGAAGCTGATGCATTGTGGGTAGCAGCACAGCCTTTGCAAGCAGCTGAGGCCGCCCTCCGCCAGATGCTTCCTCTTTGGTTCTTTTTGGGGCTCTTGTTTCCAGTCGTTCTCTCCGCTCGGCCGCCCTCGGTGTCCGTGAATCACGTAGCAGCCGCCGCCTCCGCCAGTGCTATGCCATCGCAGCCTGCCAGTTGCTATGGCAACAGACACAAACAAGCCCCAACAGACATCCAGAGTGCCCGTCCGTCTGGCTGTCACCCTTCTTCTCTGCAACAAAGACGCTTGCTGTCGCAGGAAAAAAAAAATAAAAAAATCCCCACCAAGGCCACAGACACTGAGGCAGTTGATGCAAAACATGCAGAGGATGTTTGGCACCGGAGCATATTCCAGCCTTTTCCCCGAAAGGGGTTGTGACAAGTAAATTCAGCTTGTTCATACATTTTGTGTTGTGAAAGAGGATGACCTTGCCAGCTCTTGTGCCTGCGCTCTTCTTCTAAGCACTCGTTGCTGCTTTAATTATCATTTACATGCTAATATCAGAATCAGAGAACTACTGCTGCTACTGGATGAACTGCAGCGACATCTGATTAATATTCATGGTTCCCAGCAGGAGAAGACCAGCTCCATTAGGTTCACCTTTGTGGATGGACTGTCACAAAATGTAGGTGACTAACCCTTTGAGGATCACCCGTGGTCACTTTTGTCACCTAACTCACCGGTTCAATCCCCCGCCCCTCCACAGTGGAAGTGTCCTTGGGCAAGACACTGAACCTGAAGTTGCTCCCGATGGCAGGCAGCACCTTGCATGGCAGCTCTGTCGCCATTGGTGTATGAATGTGTTTGTGAATGAGAAACACATTGTAAAGTGCTTTGGATAAAAGCGCTATATAAGTGACCATTTACCATTTTAACTTCTCCTCTCGCGCCACCATCAGGGCAAAATTTTACTTTGTTGGAACAACCTGGAAACATTTCCAGCAGTCTTAGCTGCACTTAGCAAGAGTTAACATGCTTTCAAGCCAAACTAACATAAATATAGCTGCATAGTTGCAAACATCTGCACATATCTAATAGTTTTCACTTAGAGATCAATAAAAAATTAATTTAAATAGTTCAGGCATAATTGCAAAAAATTCCTCCCTTACCATTTTAAAATGGAAAAATATGCAAGGTTTAAAAAAAAAAAATTCATATTTTATCACGTTTAATGACAAAAAGGTGATTTCAATAGCACCTTCCAAACCCAAAGTAACTGTCATCCAAGTTGCATTACAGAAATGAGTCACAACCCAGCGGCAACAACAACAGAGTGTTAGTTTCAGTTTGACAGTCAAATTTCGACACCTGAGTGATCACGAGACGGTTGACTGAATTCATATGCACCACAATATAAAGCACCAAACTAAAGATCTAAGGCTGTATTTTCTTCAAGCCTTCCAGAAGCTTATTTATTCTCAGGTATATTTGCAGCAGCACCTGAAAAACTATAATTACCTGAAAGCGAGTGTAAAGATATAAGAAGGAGTCATGTTCTGTTGCCTCATGTATTCTCAAAAAATAAAGACTAAAGCCTGTAAAATGATCCCATATTTGTGGAAAACTGGTTCCCTGTGTTTAAATATTCTGCTCTCTGTTTGGTCTTGGTGTGGTGGTGCGTGTTTAGATTCCTCCTCTGATTATAATAATTTCCGCATTTTGGTTGCAAATACCTCTCTCCCCGCTCGTTGCAGGGGGAAACACTGCACCTTTGTCGTCATGGTGATGCATCCAGATGTTTGTGTGAAACCTGCAGAGGTTCACAGCTTGATGGAGAAGCTGATAAAAGGTTGTTGTGCTTTGCATGCCACCATTACAACAGCAAGGATGCTGTAAAATGCATTTGGTGAAGCAGAAGAAGCAGCCACATATATTTTTTGGTTCATCCACAGCATGTGCTTGATTCACGATGTTGAGGCCTCATGTATAAAACTGAGGTTAATTTCCTGACGTGCCTATAATGAAAGCATGATGCAGACAGTGAGCACATTATAAAGCACTTATGTTGACTTACGCTGCACTTAAAGTGAAGTGTTACCATTTTTCCTCCGTCACGTTGGAGCGGAAGGAAGCAGGAGAAAATTGCCAACGAAGACCTGCTGTGTCAGCGTGAGTCGGAGGCTCTCGTTCATGAGGCTGTAAAATTACACCCGTGAACCTATTAGAGGCTGGAAAATAAGTGTCTCACAGCTGTCATAAGTCATGCACTTAGACCTGGGTGGGCAGGATTCCTCAAGACCTCCTGATAAATGAATTCATTCTGTGAAAAGGTCCTGTGGACAGTAGAGGGTGTGGAGAGTGAACACGGGCTTTTGTTTAGTCCGAATCATTTGAATCTGCAAGAGAGCAATGCAAAGTGCAACAAACTTACTTAATGTTAAAGACAATATATTAGAAGACTTTGTTTTGTTGTGGTACTTGATAGAAGGAGAGTAAATTCTGCATCCAACAAACCAAAAACCAAGAGAGATGCAAAATGACCAAAATGGAACGAAAAACATCTGCAGAGAGATGCAAAATGAGTACAAAGAGGCAAAAAAAAATAACCAATATGAGACAGCAAAAGAACAAAATGTGAAACAAATGGACCAAAATCAAATACAAATAACTATAAAAATGGAAAAATGACCACAAAGAGGCACAAAACTACCAACATGACACACAATGTTATCAAAATCAATAGCAAACAACCACAAAGAGATGCAAAGTGGTCAAAACTAGACAAAAAACTACCATAAAGAGTTGAAAAATCATCCCAAATGGATGCAAAATGACCAAACCAATTCCACAATGATCACGGAGAGACATTAAATTATCAATTTGAGACACCGAAC